CCTGTCCACAACCTCAAACAGTCACACTCCAAACTCCACTATGGCCAAGACCAAAGAGCTGTCAAAGGACACCAGAAACAAAATTGTAGACCTGCACCAGGCTGGGAAGACTGAATCTGCAATAGGTAAGCAGCTTGGTTTGAAGAAATCAACTGCGGGAGCAATTATTAGGAAATGGAAGACATACAAGACCACTGATAATCTCCCTCGATCTGGGGCTCCACGCAAGATCTCACCCCGTGGGGTCAAAATGATCACAAGAACGGTGAGCAAAAATCCCAGAACCACACGGGGGGACCTAGTGAACCTGCAGAGAGCTGGGACCAAAGTAACAAAGCCTACTATCAGTAACACACTACGCCGCCAGGGACTCAAATCATGCAGTGCGAGACGTGTCCCCCTGCTTAAGCCAGTACATGTCCAGGCCCGTCTGAAGTTTGCTAGAGTGCATTTGGATAGTCCAGAAGAGGATTGGGAGAATGTCATATGGTCAGATGAAACCAAAATAGAACTTTTTGGTAAAAACTCAACTCGTCGTGTTTGGAGGACAAAGAATGCTGAGTTGCATCCAGAGAACACCATACCTACTGTGGAGCATGGGGGTGGAAACATCATGCTTTGGGGCTGTTTTTCTGCAAATTGACCAGGACGACTGATCCGTGTAAAGGAAAGAATGAATGGGGCCATGTATCGTGAGATTTTGAGTGAAAACCTCCTTCCATCAGCAAGGGCATTGAAGATGAAACGTGGCTGGGTCTTTCAGCATGACAACTTCGTAAGAAGCATTTCAAGGTCCTGGAGTGGCCTAGCCAGTCTCCAGATCTCAACCGCATAGAAAATCTTTGGAGGGAGTTGAAAGTCCGTGTTGCCCAGCGACAGCCCCAAAACATCACTGCTCTAGAGGAGATCTGCATGGAGGAATGGGCCAAAATACCAGCAACAGTGTGTGAAAACCTTGTGAAGACTTACAGAAAACGTTTGACCTGTGTCATTGCCAACAAAGGGTATATAACAAAGTATTGAGAAACGTTTGTTATTGACCAAATACATATTTTCCACCATAATTTGCAAATAAATTCATTAAAAATCCTACAATGTGATTTTCTGGATTTTTTTTCTTCTCATTTTGTCTGTCATAGTTGACGTGTACCTATGATGAAAATTACAGGCCTCTCTCATCTTTTTAAGTGGGAGAACTTGCACAATTGCTGGCTGACTAAATACCTTTTTCCCCCACTGTATGTATTTTTTTAAATCCCTCAGTGCATTCATATTCACCCATGTCTTTCTCTTGATTTTCAGCACATCGCAAAAATTATTTACAAGCTGAGGCAATCAAGAAAGAGCAAAATATTTTTTATCACAGGGTGGAAGTGTTTCCTCAAAATGGTAAGAGGGCTTTTAGATTTTTGGTTGGCAATGTTTGTTTGTTGTGGTTTATTTGTGAGTTGATACCATGTTTTTGTGATTGTTGTTGTTGATCCCATGTTTATATGTGTTTCCCAGAACGTGGGCAGGCAGAACAATGACAGCGACTGCGGTGCATTTGTCCTGCAGGTGGGTTAACTTTAATATCATTATTCCTATTTCAATATTAACAGAACCTTTAGCACCATCTATCTATCCAGTCATGTTGTTCGAAAACGTTGTTTCCAAGACACTTTATCTTTTGCTACACACATAACAGTAGCAAAGTAATTTGCTTTGGTATCTGTCATAAAAACAGTACTCTACTACATCATTGCATTTGCTCTTGATATTGACATGAGCTTTTGTTCACACTGTTCCCCCCACAGTACTGTAAGGGCCTATCCTTGGAGCAGCATTTCAGTTTTGGCCAGCTGGACATGTCAATGCTGAGGAGAATAATGTACAAACAGTTGTGTCATTGCAAGGTCTCAATGTGAGTTTAAATGAAACAACTACAGTGGCTTGCGAAAGTATTCACCCCCCTTCGCATTTTTCCTATTTTGTTGCCTTACAACCTGGAATTAAAATTGATTTTTTGGGTGGTTTGTATCATTTGATTTACACAACATCACTTTGAAGATACAAACATTTTTTGGGGGTGAAACAAACAAGAAATAAGACAAAAAAACAGAATTTGAGCGTGCATAACTATTCACCCCCCCAAAGTCAATACTTTGTAGAGCCACCTTTTGCAGCAATTACAGCTGCAAGTCTCTTGGGGTATGTCTCTATAAGCTTGGCATATCTAGCCACTGGGATTTTTGTCCATTCTTCAAGGCAAAACTGCTCCAGCTCCTTCAAGTTGGATGGGTTCTGCTGGTGTACAGCAATCTTTAAGTCATACCACAGATTCTCAATTGGATTGAGGTCTGGGCTTTGACTAGGCCATTCCAAGACATTTACATGTTTCCCCCTAAACCACTCGAGTGTTGCTTTAGCAGTATGCTTAGAGTCATTGTCCTGCTGGAAGGTAAACCTCCGTCCCAGTCTCAAATCTCTGGGAGACTGAAACAGGTTTCCCTTAAGAATTTCCCAGTATTTAGCGCCATCCATCATTCCTTCAACTTTGACCAGTTTCCCAAGAAAAACATTCCCACAGCATGATGGTGCCACCATCATGCTTCACTGTGGGGAGAGGTGATGAGAGGTGTTGGGTTTGCGCCAGACATAGCGTTTTCCTTGATGGCCAAAAAGCACAATTTTAGTCTCATCTGACCAGAGTACCTTCTGCCATATGTTTGGGGAGTCTCCCACATGGCTTTTGGCGAACTCCAAGCGTGTTTGCTTATTTTTTTCTTTAAGCAATGGCTTTTTTCTGGCCACTCTTCCGTAAAGCCCAGGTCTGTGGAGTGTACAGCTTAAAGTGGTCCTATGGACAGATACTCCAATCTCCGCTGTGGAGCTTTTTAGCTCCTTCAGGGTTATGTTTGGTCTCTTTGTTGCCTCTCTGATTAATGCCCTCCTTGCCTGGTCCGTGAGTTTTGGTGAGCAGCCCTCTCTTGGCAGGTTTGTTGTGGTGCCATATTCTTTCAATTTTTTAATAATGGATATAATGGTGCTCCGTGGGATGTTCAAAGTTTCTGATATTTTTTTATAACCCAACCATGATCTGTACTTCTCCACAACTTTGTCCCTGACCTGTTTGGAGAGCTCCTTGTTCTTCATGGTGCCGCTTGCTTGGTGGTACCCCTTGCTTAGTGGTGTTGCAGACTCTGGGGCCTTTCAGAACAGGTGTATATATACTGAGATCATGTGACAGATCATGTGACACTTAAATTGCACACAGGTGGACTTTATTTAACTAATTATGTGACTTCTGAAGGCAATTGGTTGCAGCAGATCTTATTTAGGGGCTTCATAGCAAAGGGGGTGAATACATATGCACGCACCACTTTTCTGTTATTTTATTTTTTTAAATTTTTGAAACAAGTTATTTTTTTCATTTCACTTCACCAATTTGGACTATTTTGTGTATGTCCATTACATGAAATCCAAATAAAAATCTATTTAAATTACAGGTTGTAATGCAACAAAATAGGAAAACGCCAAGGGGGATGAATACTTTTGCAAGGTACTGTAGCTATCACATAACGAAAAAGATGAAGACTATTCACCCTTCCCTTCCCCCAGCTCTCTTGGCAGCACAATTTTTACAAGGGCCCCGTGTAACTCAGTTGGTAGAACATGGCGCTTGCAACGCCAGAGTTGTGGGTTCGTTTCCCACGGGGAAAATGTATGCACTCACTAACTGTAAGTTGCTCTGGATAAGAGCGTCTGCTAAATGACTAAAATATGTAAGATGGACATTGTTGCTTTTTTTTTTGCCTCACACCCACTCACGTTCATGTCTAATTATTTGTCCCTTTCGTTGATTTAGGCCAACTGTAGTGTACTCTCATATGAGATCCAATGAGGACACTAAACAACTTAATGGTTGTTGCACTTGTGCTGTTGTGAGAGATTATTTGTTTGTCCCTGGTGTCATTGAGGGTTGGGGGATAGCCAGGGTTATGGTGTTGGAAAGTCTTGATGGCCACAACCTTATGTTCAGTTTATTTGTATACATTTTTAAACATGGTTTCTAATTGTCTATCTTGTGATAAGGTAATAGCTAGTGGAGTTCAAAGGGTTGTAAACTCAACTGTACTGTTTTATATTTGTTGTGGCAAGTCACTATAAAAAAAGAGAAACTGACAACACCCATTGGATTTGAAGCCATTGTCTTTGTTTTATATTATCTTGAACAAATAAATATTAATTTTGAAGAATATGATTTAAAAGTTTTGAATTCTGACTTACATGATCATAACAAAAAACTAAAGACCTATGACTTGTTCTTTCCGTTTTTGTTGTCATAGGAGACTTTGTATGTACTCCCGAGTGGCGCAGTGCTAGCTGTGCCGCTAGAGATCCTGGTTCGAATCCAGGCTCTGTCGTAGCCGGACGCGACCGGGAGACCCATGTGGTGGCGCACAATTGGCCCAGCGTCGTCCAGGGTAGGGGAGGGAATGGCCGGCAGGGATGTAGCTCAGTTGGTAGAGCATGGCGTTTGCAACGCTAAGGTTGTGGGTTTGATTCCCACGGGGGGCCAGTATTAAAAAAAAATACTGTCTGTAAGTAACTCTGGATAAGAGCGTCTGCTTAATGACTAAAAAATAAATAAAATAAAAAAATGTATCAAAAGTCATATTGCGTTCTTTGGAATGTAATTCCTCTCCGTAGCTACAGCATCAGATATATATATCTAGTGCTTTTTGGATTATGCGTCATAATCAACAAATCCAATGAAAGCATTGTTCGTTATGTTTCTTCCAATCATAGAATTTGTAATTTAATAGGGTCTATGCTTCCAATGGTTTTGTTGCTGGGGAGGAACCAAATATCGAGTCCTCCTTTTCGCTCCTATTATGGTCAAATAAAGGCGGCAACCACACTTTTAGTGACTTCTTAGATAGCCAATAATATGTCACAATGGGTCTAAATATATGACTCTGGGTGTTGCCAACATTGAATGATAGTCCTCTTCAGCAATCAAATCTTGAGTTTTCCAAACCACGTTGTGGTATATAAAACATTTTTGCGGCGTATTCGCCCTTTGTGATAATGTCGGCAGATTATGAAGAGAGGTAAAGAATCCAGCAAATTGTTTCACTGTTTTATTATAACCAGTTACACATGGCTAGATAAAATAACCCGGTCGGCCCCGCAATTCCGTTATAAAATGCAACCTTAATATTAGCGGTTTCCTTGTGCTGTCGTTTTAGTGCTAACTAACGTTAGCAACTGTAAAGTAGCTAGCGGTAGTCGGGTTGGAGCCGCTAAAGGCAAGCCCTTTGTAAAAATGTTTCACGTTATGACATGTTAGCTAGGTAGTTGACTCAAATTGTGCCTTGTATTATTGTAAACACTGATTTGCTGGCCAGCCCACAAATGTTAATTGAGTAATGCATGGTAATGCATGGTGAAGTCGAACTGCTAACATCGGTGAAGATGGCTAGCTAGTTATAATTTCGCAGGCGAACACCACCAGACCGGTTGCGGGAAAATGGTGGCCTGTCTCACCAGCGAGCCCCGCCATGGTGCACAAATGATTTTCTGCCCAGTGTCGTTGGTCACGTTTAACTACGTTAGCTAGTAACGGGTGTTCACTAATAACCTCAAAACTCCGGCTAGCTAGTGTCTCACTGGCTACAGTTCTTATCCGAAATATTATGTTTACGAGCTTGCTGGATCGCTTGTTCTTTTAATGGAGCCACCCTTTCAGCTAACGTTAGCTAACTTTCTGCGCTACGAGCACATGGTTTTTCGGGTAAATTAGGGGTCGCTAGGCCTGGTGGCGGTGCTTTATTTTGTATTTATTATGGAATTATTTGCAATCGGATAGGACTTTCGGTTGAGTGATTGCTACTTCCAGCTAGTATGGTTAGCTATCCCTGCTGAATATGTTGTTTTGCTTGTTAGCGAGCTAACGTTAGCAGTTTCATCACGGGGTTTACATTTCCACTCCGGCCTAGCCAGCCAGCGAACCCCCACCAATTTGTTATCCACCATGACTACTGGGCCTAGACAGCCAGCGAACCCATACCAATTTATCTACCATGACCATTATTCTATTCAAAATCTCTGAATACAAGTAATTTTGCATGGGCGTGTTCGATTCGTCTGCATTGGGAAGACTTTCTGAAATATGTGTTTTTGGAAATTGAGTGGCGTCACAAGTTTGGTTGTGTGTGTGCCCCAAATTCTGCCTCGCTGGTCGCCAGCACCGATGGTGGGGTACCAAAACGACCATCTTATGCGAGTTTATTGAACATCGGTGCCTCGATTCAATCATTGGCACTTCATGGGCCGAATTCGGGCATGTCATGCCCATTGCAATCACACCCTGGCATTAGACCCCTTATACATTTCTGATTAGAAATGTTTTTGTTCATGATATCATTAGAATTGGCTAATGAGTTATGAAATATATGTATCATCTAGTATTGACATGTGGACGTTTTCCTCCAGAGACCTCTCCAACAGAGACAATGGCCCTGAGGGCATGGAGCCAGATGGCATCATTGAGGTAAAGTTAAGTGTTTTGTGTGTGTCAGGCAAGTTTGTCAAAAGTTGGATGAAGGACCCGGTTAAAAATTGTTGAATATCATTACTGGCAATGGGATGGAGGAGAAGATGCATACATCTAACACCCACAATCAGGGTCTTGCATGGTTTTCCATCTCTCCACTGGCAGTAAAGCAGTACTGGGAGTTTGTGTAAGAAGTACAGTCTCTGGGTACCATATACACAAACCGTGGTCTGTTATCTTTCTCTCTCCACAGAGTAACTGGAATGAGATTGTGGACAGCTTCGATGAGATGGCCCTGCGTGAGACTCTCCTGAGAGGAATCTATGCCTATGGTTTTGAGAAACCCTCTGCCATTCAGCAGAGGGCCATCCTCCCTTGTATCAAGGGTAAGTTAGTTTCCTAAAATAAACTCCCACACACAGGATATTGTGTGTGGGAGACCTTTTTTTTTTTTTTTTTTTCATCAATATGTATCAAGATGGGTATAAGCTTCAGACATGGGAATGACTTCAATACCAATTATATGTGTTGATTTTTATAGTGTTCTTTTTGCGTCAATCTCTAGCCTAAGTTGTCGCTGACTGAAGTTGCCTGAGCTTCTATACTTCTATTCATCCTCTTCATTCCTATGTGGAACATTAGGTTTCCTTGAGAGATCATACGACACTGGCTTTTATTTATTCCAGACTATCCTACATGTCAGGTTTGGAGACTTTCTCAATCATGCCTTAAATGTTTTATTATTTTAATTGTAAATATTAAGCTTGCAGATTTCCTAAGCCTCTGCATCTAAACAGTGAACCAAATGCCTATAAAGCATATCCTTGGTCATATTCACTAGGAACCAACTGGGAGGGACCTGTCTGAATTTGTCCAATAAGAAATACTTTATTTTTCTGTTGCAAAGTGTTTTGCTATGGTGTCTACTAATGAATATGACCCTTCATTCCCCACCAGGTTTTGATGTCATTGCACAGGCCCAGTCCGGCACAGGGAAGACTGCCACTTTCGCCATCTCCATCCTACAGCAGATTGATATCGAGCTAAAGGGCACCCAGGCCCTAGTCCTCGCTCCCACCCGAGAGTTGGCTCAGCAGGCAGGTTACACACATTTAATTTGCAACTCCTGTACCCTGTACACTGTCGTGCCGACTCAAACGTACCATGCTGGCTCTGATATTTTAATATCACATGGGCCTTTCCAGCACTGTTGTAGCAACTATGGTGGATGAATTGCCAGCACAGTACAGCTTGGCTTGATTCTGCTCTCTAGTGTGAATTAAACCATGTAGGCTGATGATGTAATGTGCCACCCCTGTCACAGGCAAGGCAGTGTCTTTGAGTGGCACTAAGTCTTATATCTGTCAGGGTGAGAGAGGGATATTCATCCCAGCCGACTCTGTGGAGTGAGCAACAGGCTGGTTCATGCTATGGGCACGAACTCATGAGTTACACAAATCTGATCCTTATGAATAATGTTGCTTGTCAGATGATGACTAAAAGTAATGAACATTTACGCTAAAATTGTCTTGAACATGGAAGTAGATTAGGGACGTCAAATGTTCAGGCTACTGCACAGACTATGGAAGCTCTAGTCTGAAGTTCACAAGCAATGTTATTAAATTCAAAATGTTGGCTAGATATTTCAACTCTGTATGGCAAGCGTGAATGACTAACTGAAAACGTTTGAGGCTGCTTTGAGCCACAGCTCGTTGTAGCTATGTTAAATCGAATCACATAATTGTTTTTGTGAGACAGCGTGGTATCGAGAATCCTCACAACCAAGTGAAGAATCTTGTGTGTGAGACCCCCGTCTATGCTACGTCGTTTAGTGTGCACACCACTACGTTGGCAACACACAAAAAACTACAGGAAAGACGGTTGTTTAATGTGAGGCTCAGCGGTGTTAGGATTTTGAAAGTCATGTATTGTACACCCGGCATTTAAATACAGTGAGGGGGAAAAAAGTATTTGATCCCCTGCTGCTGTTGTACGTTTGCCCACTGACAAAGACATGATCAGTCTATCGTTTTAATAGTAGGTTTATTTGAACAGTGAGAGACAGAATAACAACAACAAAAATCCAGAAAAACGCATGTCAAAATTTTATAAATTGATTTGCATTTTTAATGAGGTGAATAAGTATTTGACCCCTCTGCAAAATATGACTTAGTACTTGGTGGCAAAACCCTTGTTGGCAATCAGAGGTCAGATGTTTCTTGTAGTTGGCCACCAGGTTTGCACACATCTCAGGAGGGATTTTGTCCCACTCCTCTTTGCAGATCTTCTCCAAGTCATTAAGGTTTCGAGCCTGACGTTTGGCAACTCGAACCTTCAGCTCCCTCCACAGATTTTCTATGGGATTAAGGTCTGGAAACTGGCTAGGCCACTACAGGATCTTAATGTGCTTCTTCTTTGTTGCCTTGGCCGTGTGTTTTGGGTCATTGTCATGCTGGAATACCCATCCACGACCCATTTTCAATGCCCTGGCTCAGGGGAAGGAGGTTCTCACCCAAGATTTGACGGTACATGGCCCCGTCCATCGTCCCTTTGATGCGGTGAAGTTGTCCTGTCCCCTTAGCAGAAAAACACCCCCAAAGCATAATGTTTCCACCTCCATGTTTGACGGTGGGGATGGTGTTCTTGGGGTCATAGGCAGCATTCCTCCTCCTCCAAACACGGCGAGTTGAGTTGATGCCAAAGAGCTCCATTTTGGTCTCATCTGACCACAACACTTTCACCCAGTTCTCCTCTGAATCATTCAGATGTTCACTGGCAAACTTCAGACGGGCCTGTATATGTGCTTTCTTGAGAAGGGGGACCTTGCGGGCGCTGCAGGATTTCAGTCCTTCACGGCGTAATGTGTTACCAATTGTTTTCTTGGTGACTATGGTTCCAGCTGCCTTGAGATCATTGACAAGATCCTCCCGTGTAGTTCTGGGCTGATTCCTCACCGTGGTCATGATCATTGCAACTCCACGAGGTGAGATCTTGCATGGAGCCCCGGGCCGAGGGAGATTGACAGTTCTTTTGTGTTTCTTCCATTTGCGAATAATTGCACCAACTGTTGTCACCTTCTCACAAAGCTGCTTGGCGATGGTCTTGTAGCCCATTCCAGCCTTGTGTAGGTCTACAATCTTGTCCCTGACATCCTTGGAGAGCTCTTTGGTCTTGGCCATGGTGGAGAGTTTGGAATCGGATTGATTGATTGCTTCTGTGGACAGGTGTCTTTTATACAGGTAACAAGCTGAGATTAGGAGCACTCCGTTTAAGATTGTGCTCCTAATCTCAGCTCGATACCTGTATAAAAGACACCTGGGAGCCAGAAATCTTTCTGATTGAGGGGGGGTTAAATACTTATTTCCCTCATTAAAATGCAAATCAAATTATAATAAAATTTGACATTCGTTTTTCTGGATTTTTTTGTTGTTCTGTCTCACTGTTCAAATAAACATACCATTAAAATTATAGACTGGTCATTTCTTTGTCAGTGGGCAAACATACAAAATCAGCAGGGGATCAAATACTTTTTTGCCTCACTGTAGCAGCCAACAGTTGTCACTGTTGATATCCTATGCCACATCATGATTAGTTGACGTTGACAGGAAAAAGTGGTTTGTTCACTTTTTCCATGATGGCAGCCTCCAGAAATCAACATCTGACATTCCAAAACATTGATTTAAGCCTTCTACAAGTTCTCATCTAACCAACCATGTATAGGTTATTCCTGGTTTCCGTGTGCCCTTTGAATGGTATTACGGTAGTTTAAATCGGTCTTCACCCCAAATGTTTGCACCTGTTCTATTGATTTCAGCATGATATCGATGGAAGTGATTAACAAAAAAAGTGTTGCGTTACACTTACTGCAGTGGTGACCAACATGAATGAAAATGTAGCTAGCGGTCTTCTACCAATTGTTCTCTAACCAGTGGTGTAAACATTATTCCCAGATTCCTCTGGTTTTTGAGCTGTTTGTTTTAACAGGATGTGCAACCTCATCTCCCCCAACCCCCCCCCCCCCTTCGCGCAATTCATTTCAACACTATTATTTTTGTAATTTTTATTTTACCTTTATTTAACTAGGCAAGTCAGTTAAGAACAAATTCTTATTTACAATGAAGGCCTACACCGGCCCAACCCGGACAACACATGATAATCGAGTTGGTGATTGACAGAAGTGTTGCTTTTCTCGTTCTGTTTTGGTGACCCCCGTATCAAAATGTAGCCGGCTGTGTTCTGCAGGTTGTCCTCTAACCAGTGACGTGAAAATACCCCCAATTTATATTTTTGTGATGGTTTCAACGGCGCATATTCCTCCCTAATCGATTAGTTATTTATTGCGTGTAGATAGTACATTTTGTTTGTTTTCACACCTTATGGATCAGTGGGGACTGTGAAGAGGCACATACACATGAATACACACACGCATGGAAACATGCTCTATTTTGTGTGGTAGTAGTGTGTAGTGACCTGAGGGCACACACTTACATTTGACATTTTAGTCATTTAGCAGACGCTCTTATCCAGAGCGACTTAAAGTTAGTGAGTGCATACATTATAAAAAAAAAAAATTTCATACTGGCCCACCGTGGGAATCGAACCCACAACCCTGGCGTTGCAAACGCCATACTCTACCAACTGAGCTACATCCCTGCCGGCCATTCCCTCCCCTACCTTGGACGACGCTGGGCCAATTGTGCGCCGCCCCATGGGTCTCCCGGTCACGGCCAGCTACGACAGAGCCTGGATGCAATGCCTTAGACCACTGCGCCACTCGGGAGAACACTTAATGTGTTGTGAAGTACAATTTAAAAAACAAACATTACAATACATAACTGCCTTAATTTTGCTGGACCCCAGGAAGAGTAGATGCTGCCTTGGCAGCAGCTAATGGGGATCCATAATAAATACAAATCTATCACAAACTGTTTCCACATATTGGTTATTGATTTGGACACTTTCAAACTGTGTTTTGACATTGGGCTATTTTATGAATGTCTTGTCATCAGGAAGCAGCGACAGCATCATTTTCAGCATAAGTTTTAGAAATATAAATTGAACTTTCAACATTAGTTTCCAATTGTATTGCACTTAATCATGTAATAAATGCTGAATGAGTCCAAAAACATGCTGTGATTTGATTTTGATAATATACCAGAAATCACCAAAATGGACATGTAAACTTAGTCAAATATGTGCCAGAGGGAGCTTTCCTTGGCCACTGTGCTGCTGCTTGCGCCCTAGTCTAGGCTGTGTTACTGTTAAAGCACTTTGTGACAACTGCTGACTGCTGGATTTAAGTTTTATCGACTCCCTCTCCTCTTCAATAGATCCAGAAGGTGATCCTGGCCCTCGGCGACTACATGGGAGCCTCCTGCCATGCCTGTATCGGCGGAACCAACGTCCGCAACGAGGTGACAAAACTCCAGGCTGAGGCTCCCAATATAGTGGTTGGAACTCCAGGCCGCGTGTTCGACATGTTGAACCGCAAGTTCCTCTGTGAGTGATGTCAGGGCCTTTCTTTTTGTGACCAGATTTGTACAGATAACATAGGTTTGTCAAACATTTCGCAATGTTATGTTTACATCTGTATGTTTTTGTTTACTGAAGAGTATTGACATTTCACTTTGTGTTCAAGTTTTGTCTAAACCAAGTGCTCATCTTCCCCCTCAGCTTCTAAGTACATCAAGATGTTTGTCCTGGACGAAGCTGATGAGATGTTGAGCCGGGGTTTCAAGGACCAGATCTACGAGATTTTCCAGAAGCTTGGCACTAGTACACAGGTATGAGGACAAATTGTGTCAAACAGTCCTTAGGAAGCTATGCTCTACCTGAAGCCTCTGCAATTTTTTTTAATTGACTTTTATTTATTCAGTGTAGCCCAATTCAGACCAGTGTCTCATTTGCAACAAAAATAAAACTACAAGACAGCTATAAATATATTATGTCAGTTGAAACAATTGCACACTTCATTAAACTCATTTAACAACTGTTTTAAACTACCCTATCGGCACCAGGGAATCCAGGTGTAAGTTGTTTTGTAAGGTATTCCATAACTGGCGTGTTAAAACTAAAGGCGGATTTACTTTGTGGAGACAAGTGGGACCTCAAAGAGTTAACCAACCTTGTGAATGGGTATGGTATTTCTATGTTTCAACAGTGAAGTGAGGTATGTTGGAAGCTTGTGGAGCAGAGCTTTGCAAACAAGAAGGGAGTAATGAAGTGATCTACGGGACTTTAAGTGAGGTCCAGCTGACCTTCTGATACAAGATGCAGTGATGAGTATTAAAACTGTCACCTGTAATAAAGCGAAGGGCGCTATGGTAGACTGCATCCAATGGTTTAAGAGTAGTGGCTGCGGCATTCTGGTAAATGGTGTCACCATAGTCAAGAACTGTCAGGAAAGCTGACTGCACAATCTGCTTCCTGCTGTTCATGGAGAGGCAAGATCTATTTCTAAAAAAGAAGCCCACTTTAAATTTTAGCTTTTTAACTAGGTCATCAGTATATTTTGTCAAACGTTAGATCTTTATCAATCCAAACGGACAGATATTTATAGGCGGGAACCCGCTCGATGAGAGAACCATCCAATGAGTGAATAAGTAGCCCATCTGAGAGATCTTTCATTGAATTAGAGAACATGTATTTAGTTTTGCCCGCATTAAGTACAAGTTTTAAATGAAGGGCTTTTTGTAATGCAACAAAATCAGATTGCAGCTCTAACATAGCTCGGTTAACTGTCGGTGCAATGGCATACATAACCGTATCGTCTGCATACAGATGAATATTACAGGATTTAATACATAGTCCAATATTATTTATGCATGTCTCAATACCGACCCCTGCAGTACATCTTTCGTAATATTGAGGAAACTAGACTTGACAGCATCAGAAAGCACACATTGTGTCCTGGAGGTCAGATGGCTCTTAAACCATTTGCAAGGCTCCTTGTCCAGGCCCATTTCAGACTGTTTTTAAATGAGTAGCACTTCTAAAACAACAATAGTGGCTGAAACAGTGCGATGTCCAGATCTAAAAATCAAACTGGTGCATATTTTAGATTAGTGAGAAGTTGAAAACCTTAGCTGGGAGTTGGTCAAGGATTCTAAAACCTTGGATAGGCAACATACTTTAACTCGGAGATTGGGTGGTAATTATCTAAGTCAGAAAGATCTCCGCCTTTGTGTAAGGGGAGGACATGTGCAACTTTCCAAACCTTAGGGATAACACCGGAAGCAATTGTGAAGTTAAAAATACATGTTAAACGTTCAACAATGAGTGGGGCAGAGAGCTGTAGTAAGAAGGGGTCAAGTGAATCAGCCCCTGATCTTTAGCAAGGCACTTAATACATCGTAGACATCAAATGGTTGAAATGAAAATAAAGTATGTGCGTGCATCATTCTCTACAATCTGTTCTGAGGTGACTAAAGGACTCCCTCCAGTGGAATGAGATGAATTTTCAGAGACTATCCTTTCAAACAGGTGGCTAGCTGAAGCAAAATGGTTATTAAAAGCACTACAAATGTCTGTTTTGTTTCAAAGACTTAACCACTTTCCAGAAGTTAGCTAGGCTTACCACTAGGCTTGGGCGGCATACTGGATGTACCGGGGTATTTGGAAATAGACACGGGATGGTTTCGTCAATATCATTGAAACTTTCTTTGAAGTTTTTCAATACAATTTGTAGCTACTTTTTAAGGAAATACCTGCAGTTAACTTGTGCAATGCGTTAGGAGATAAAGCAGATTGTGTTCTTCATTTCACCTGTCACATTATTTTATGTTATGAAGCTTACGTAGTTCCCCAGTCACTTTTGTATTGTATTAAGGATCCCTATTCAATATACTCTTCCTGGGGTCCAGCAACATTAAGGTAGTTATATACAATTCAAGATATTACATTACATTTCATAACACTATTCACAACACATTAAGTGTGTTCCCTCAGGCCAATACTCAACTACCACATATCTACAATACAAAAACAAGTAGTAATGAAGACGATGTCTCCTCCACTTTGAGCCATGAGAGATTTGCATGCATATTATTGTTAGCTCTCTGTGTACATTTAAGAGCCAGCCGTGCTGCCCTGTTCTGAGCCAAGTGTAATTGTCCGAGGTACCTCTTTGTGGCAGCTGACCACACGATTTAACAGTAGTCCAGGTGCGACAACACTAGGGCCTGTAGGACCTGCCTTGTTTATAGTGTTAAAAAGGAAATATTTAGGACTAACTTATTCCTTGCCACCCATTCTGAAGCTAACTGCAGCTCTTTGTTAAGTGTGGGTGGGATTTCACTCGCTGTAGTAGCTGATGTGTGTAGTCTTGCATCATCTGCATACATAGACACACTGGCATTACTCAAAGCCAGTGGCATGTCGTTAGTAAAGATTGAAAAAAGTAAGGGACCTAGATCGCAGCCCTCGGGAATTCCCGATTCTACCTGGATTATGTTGGAGAGGCTTCCATTAAAGAACACCCTCTGTGTTCTGTTAGACAGGTAACTCTTCATCCACAATATAGCAGGGGGTGTGAAGCCATAACACAAGTTTTTCCAGCAGCAGACTATGATCGATAAGGTCAAAAAACACACTGAAGTCTAACCAAACAGCCTTCAATTTCTTTATTATCAATTTCTCTCAGCCAGTCATTTGTGTAAGTGCCATCCTTGTAGAATGTCCTTCCCTATAAGTTTGCTGAAAGTTTGTCAATTTGTTTACAGTAAAATAGCATTGTATCTGGTCAAACACAATTTTTTCCAATAGTTTACTCAGGGTTGGTAACAGGCTGATTGGTCGGCTATTTGAGCCAGTAAAGGGGGCTTTTCTATTCTTGATTAGCGGCATTACTTTTGCTTACCTCCAGGCCTGAGTGCACACGCTTTCTAGTAGGCTTAGATTGAAGATATGTCAAAAGGAGTGGCAATATTGTCTGCTATTATCCTCAGTAATTTTCCATCCAAGTTGTCAGACCCTGGTGGCTTGTCATTGTTGCTAGACAACAATAATCTTGTCACACCTTCCACACTCACTTTACGGAATTCAAAATTCATAATTTGATCAGATATACTTGGATGTGTAGTGTCAGCGTTTGTTGCTGGCACGTTGTGTCTAAGTTTGCTAATATTGCCAATGAAAAGATCATTAAAGTAATTAACAATATCAGTGAGTTTTGTGATGAATGAGCCATCTGATTCAATGAATGATGGAGCGGAGTTTGCCTTTATGCCCAAATTTTTTATTTAAGGTGCTCCAAAGCTTTTTACTATCAGTCTTTATTTCATTTAACTTTGTTTTATAGTATAGTTTCTTCTTCTTTTTTATTCAGTTTAGTCACATGATTTCTCAATTTGCAGTACATTTGCCAATCGGTTGTGCAGCCAGACTTATTTGCCATTCCTTTTGCCTCTTCCCTCTCAACCATACACCATTTTTTTTAAAATTCCTCATCAATCCATGGGGATTTAAGTTTATACATTCATTTTCTTAATGGGTGCATGCTTATTAGTAACTGGAATAAGCAATTTCATAAATGTGTCAAGTGCAGTGTCTGGTTGCTCCTCATTACACACCATACACCAACAAATATTCTTTACATCAACATAGGAATCGCTACAAAACGGATTGTATGACCTCTTATACACTATATTAGGCCCAGCCTTTGGTTTTCCTAGATATGGCTACTATATTGTGATCACTACATCCGATGGATTTGGATACTGCTTTAAATCAAATTTCTGCAGCATTAGTAAAGATGTGATCAATACATGTTTTCATTCCTGTGCCTTCCGGGATGATGGTGTTGATGTGAGTCATGACCAGCCTTTCAAAGCACTTCATGGCTAGCGACGTGGGTGCTACGGGGCGGTAGTCATTTAGGCAGGTTACCTTTGCATTTGTGTGCACAGGGACTATGGTGGTCTGCTTCAAACGTGGGTATTACAGATTCTTTCAGGGAGAGGGTTGAAAATGTCGGGGAAGACACTTGCCAGTTGGTCCGCGCATGCTCTGAGTACACGCCCTGGTAATCCGTCTGGCCCCGCGGCCTTGTGAATGTTGACCTGTTTTAAGTTCTTGCTCACATCGGCTACGGAGAGCGTGATCACACAGTCGTCCGGAACATCTGGTGCTTTCATGCATGCTTCAGTGTTGCTTGCCTCGAAGCGAGCAAAAATGGCATTTAGCTCGTCTGGTAGGCTCACGTCACTGGGCAGCTCTCGGCTGGGTTTCCCTTTGTGGTCCGTAATAGTTTGCAAGCCCTGCCACATCCGACGAGTGTTAGAGCAGGTGTAGTACGATTCAATCTTAGTCCTGTATTGACGCTTTGCCTGTTTGATGGTTCGTCTGAGGGCATAGCGGGATTTCTTATAAGCGTCCGGATTAGTAAGGTCACTGTGGGGACGTAGTCAATGCACTTATTGATGAAGCCGGTGACTGAGGTGGTATACTCCTCAATGCCATTGGATGAATCACGGAACATATTCCAGTCAGCGCTAGCGAAACAGTCCTGTAGCGTAGCATCTGCGTCATCTGACCACTTCCGTATTGAGCGAGTCTGGTACTTCCTGCGTTAATTTTTTGCTTGTAAACAGGAATCAGGAGGATAGAATTATGGTCAGATTTGCCAAATGGAGGGTGAGGGAGCGCTTTGTATGCGTCTCTGTGTGTGGAGGAAAGGTGGTCTAGAGTAGTTTATTTTTTTCTCTGGTTGCACATGTGACGTGCTTGTAGAAATGAAGTAAAACAGATTTAATTTTGCCTGCATTAAAGTCTCTGGCCACTAGGA